CACTTTAAAGAGCGAAGATGTCACTTTGAAGAGTGAGGTGCACTTGAGCCAAGCCATGATGTTTTCAGTCACTTCATATGCATGTAAAAACTGGACAGCGAATAAGGAACACTGAAGAAATATTGATGCATTTGAATGGTTATGTTGGCGAAGAACATTGAATGTACCATGGACTGCTGGAAGAACGAACAAATCTGTCTTGGAAGAAGTCAGTCGGCATGCTCCTTAAAAGTTAGAACAGACTTCATCTCATCTACTTTGTCATGTTATCAGGAGGGACCATTTCCTGCAGAAGGACATTATGTTTGGTAAATAAGACCCTCAGTGAGATGGACAGACGCGGTGGCTGCAGCAATGCACTAAGCATAGCAATTCTGAGGATGATGTGGGACCAGGCATGTTTCATTCTGTTGTATGTAGGGTCGCTAGGAGTTGGAATCGATTCCACAGCACCTGACAACAACAAACTTTCCTTGATTGCCCATTGTGTGCTAGACAAGTGAGGTACAAAATGACTGAAATGTAGTTCTTTTCAATCTTGTGGGACATAGACACTTAATTTGACACTAACAAAATGTGTTTCTACCTTTTAGCTATTGTGAATAATACTGCAGTGAACATTGGTATACACTGTTGTGTTTGTATATGTGTTTGAGTCCCTGTTTTCAAGTCTCTTGGTTATATACCTAATGGTGGAATTATTTGGTCATATGGTACTTCTGGTGGCATAGTGCCTAAAGCATTTGACTGTTAACCAGGAAGTTGGCGGTTCAAACCCACTAGCCACTCCACGGAAGGAAGATGGGGCAATCTACTTCTGTAAAGTTTTACCACCTCAGAAATCCAGTGGGGGTCGCTATGAGTTGGAATTGACTCAGTGGCAGTGAGTTTTGTGTTTGTTTTTTTTTTTTTTAAATAGTAATTCTGTTTCTAACTTTTTGAGGATTGTTCTGGTTACCTAGTGCCACTCTGACAAGAATATACCACAAAGGGGATGGCTTGAACAAACAGTAGTTTATTCTCTTATGGTTCGGGAGGCTAGCTGTGTGAAAACCCCTCAACCTTGGGTCTCAGCTCTGCCTATTGCTCCCAGCCCACTGAAGCTAGAAGCATCTCTTCACTCAGGCAGCTACTGGCTACTGAGGCTAACAAGCCCAAGGTCGACAAATAAAATGGCACAGTCCCAATGTTACCGAACCACACAGCAGGCCATTAATTCAAGTCCATTGGAACTGTGTTGGCAGATTATAGCAGGCTGCTGAACAACGACACGGCTACATATAGGGTTCAAGTGTGCCATAAGCTAGAGACCATTTCCCAAGGCTTCTCCTTATATACAGGAAGCAGACCACATCCCTAAGGCAGCTACTCAGGTGCTCACAATAGATTCCACCGTGGACCTGATTACCACTCTTACCATGGGGAATAACTACATCCAGCTGCCCAGCCACTGAACCAGGCCCAGCCAAGTTAGCACACAAACTTTACCACCTCAAGGATCTTCCACAGTGGTTTTCATAGGACTGAACCAGTTACCTTTCCTATCACCGATACTTGGGTGTGCCAGTTTCTCTACATCCTCTCCAGTACACATGATCTGTCATTTTTCTCATAGTGGCTTTCCTAATGAGAGTGAAATGGTATGTCATTGTGGTTTTGATTTGCATTTCCCTAATGGCTAGTGGAAGTTCATGCATGGTACAGATGTTCAATATAGTTGGCTGCTAACTGAGAGGTTGGAGGTTCGAGCCTAACGAGGCACCTTGGAAGAAAGGCCTGGTGACTTACTTCAGGTGACTCAGCCATTGCCAGCCCTTGGAGAACAGTTCTCTGACCCCTGGGCCCACTGTGAGCTAGAGTCCACTCTGGAGCAGCTAGTCAGTGACCAGTGATGCTAGCAGCTTTGCATGTGTTTATTGCCATTTGTGTATCTTTGGAGAAATACCTGTTCAAGTCCTGTCCATAATTAACTGGGTTGTTTGTCTTGTTGTTGTATTGTAGGAATTTTTTTTAATACACATTTCGGATATTGAATCTTTATATTCTCCTATTCTGTAGCTGTCTCTTCACTTTCTTTATAAAGTTCTTTGATGTACAATAATTTTTCATTTTGTTAAAGTCCAATATATCTTTTCTTTAATTACTCGTACTTCTGGTGTCATACTTAAGAATCTCTTGTCAATAACAGGGCCTTGAAACTTTTCTTGTATTTTCTTCTAAGAGTTTTATAGTCTCAGTTCTTATATTTGGCAAATGATCCATTTTTAGTTAATTTTCATACATGGTAAGAGGTATGGGTCCAGGCTCATTCTGTTGCTTGTGGGGATAAAATTGTCCTAGCACCATTTATTTGAAGAGACCATTTCCTCATTGTGTGGACTTGGTACCTTTTCAATTAGTTTTGAAAACTGGCCTTTTTTTTCCCATCAACTGATTTAAAGCTGTGTTTAACTATGTTAGCTCCTAAAATTAAAACTGTGGGCTAGTTACTGTACTGTCAGTTCTTTCCTTACTTAAAGAGTAGAAAAATACTTTTCCTCCTTCTTTCTGTCTCCCCTCCCTGCTGCTTTCTTTTTGCTTAGAAGAAATGCTAGAAACTGTAAAAATCACAAAACTGGTATTGCACTTCTTCCTTTTCATGCTACTTTGAGAAACACTCATTTTGTGATTACAATTAGCACGGTTATGTGAAACAGTGCCACAAGTAAATAGTTTCATTTTTGAAAAAGGCTTCCATTTCTGAGATCCTAATACATGCATTGATTTAATTGTAGATTGTCAGTTAATTGTGTTTTGTAGCTATAGATTAGTATTATTTCAATGGAGAATTCACGTATGGTATAATTGTCAATATAAACAATATTATATGGACTGTGACTAAGTTTTGATTTTTTCTCCCTAGTCTATGTTATTTATACATGAGGGCTTTTACGTCTTCCTGCTTTAATTTCACAAGAGCTCTGGTAGCGTAGTGCCTAAGGCACTTGACTGCTAACCAGAAGGCTGGCGGTTCAAACCCACCAGCCACTCCTCGGAAGGAAGATGGGGCAATCTACTTCAGTAGTGATACTGCCTCAGAAACCCAAGGAGGGGTCGCTGTGAGTTGGGTCGGACTTGACGGCACATAATAACAACAACAACAACAATACTTTTGGTTTACACTTTTATTGTTGACTTGTAATTTTATTTCCTCGGAATCAGAGAATATAGCTTAAAATATATGTTGTGGTTTTCTTTGTCATTAAGCATGTGATCAACTTTTCAGTGTTCCTTAGAAACTTGGCAAGAAACCATCTATTATATTATGATCAAAAACACTCAGTTAAAAATAGGAAAATCCATTGTTATATCATTAACAGATTTTTCTTGATGTTGTCTCTTATTCCAGTCATAAAGACTTGTTTTTATTAGGTCTTTACTGTTAATTTACATTTTGTCAATAGAAAATTATTCCCTTTCTTCGATTTGTGGTTTTTGCCCCAAATGATTCACTATTGATATTGTTTTGTCTTTTTTCTTATTTATTTTCATCACACATTTAATATTTACCCTTTCATGACAAGACTAGAGTTGTCTAAGTGTAAATTATCACTATTTGTTACTTCAGTACAAAACTATTTCACTTACAGGAGAATTTAAACTTTCACATTAATAGTAGCACAGTTTTACTTCATCTTTCAGTTTTTACTATCTTTTTTGTTTCCTTTTTTTGCTAATATACATAACTTCATTTTCCTTTTATTTCTACAATGATCTGGAAGGTAAGAACAGTTTTAATTTCACTTGTACTCATTTTAAAAATTATCAAATAATCCATATAGCTAATATAATATAGCACAGTTTATTCCTTTGTGTAATTTTTATAGACCTCATACTTTTTATTTTTGTTTCCTATATCCATCTTTGAATAAAAAGTTCTGACTTGATTCTGACTCATAGCAACCCCCTTTGGGTTTCTGAGGTAGTAAATCTTTATGAAAGTAAATTGCCCTAGTCTTCCTTCCACAGAGGGCTGGTGGGTTTGAACCGCCAATCTTCTGGTTAGTAGTCAAATGCCTTAGGCGCTATGCCACCAGAGCTCCTTTTTGGTATACTTTTTATTCTTGTTTCCTGTGTTCATCTTTGAATAAAGAACTCTGACGTTTATTAGATGCCTGTCCTTAGTTTGTAAATTGTGTCCCATTTTCATTTCCGTGTGTTCAGTAGACAACTGTGAGGGACCACTGCCGCGTTCGCTCTTGGTCTCCCTCTACTGAGGCTCTCTTTCTAAACCCAGTCAGGTTATCGGGCGTGTCATACCTAGTTTCACTTCTTGAGGAGCTTTGGGATCATGTCTCTTGAGGGCAGGGGTCATGTCTCTCCTACTGGAACATGTGTTTTCCCTTGATGCCTACCCCGGAGTTAGGCATACAGTAAGCCCAGTAACTACTTTGTGAGAGATTTAACATTCCAGTGTCCTAAGTTGGAACACTTAAACACCAGAAACTAGGAGGAATTTATGGTCCTAGTTGATGCCAATTTTGTATTCTTTATTTTTATTCACCAGAAGTTAGAATTCACATTAAATAATTAAAAATTACTAGGTTTTCTTTTTTAAGTTACATGTAGCTTATCATTGTTTTATATTTAAAAATTATCAGCAGGTTTTGGTTATGTTGTTGTTGTTGTTGTTGTTGTTATGTGCCGTCGAGTTGGCCCCAACTCATAGCGACCCCTCCTTGGGTTTCCGAGGTAGTGTCACTACGGAAGTAGGATTGCCCAACCTTCCTTCCGAGGAGTGGCTGGTGGGTTTGAACCGCCAGCCTTCTGGTTAGCAGTCAAGTGCTTTAGCCAATATGCTACCAGAGCTCCTTAGGTTTTGGTTATAGAGAGGAATAAATTTTTGCTTTGGTTTGTTTTTGTTGTTTGTAGTGGTAATATTGTAAACTGTTCTATATGACATCTATATACCGGCCCCTAACATTGGCTGTTTCCTTCTGTTTGGTGTTGAATGTTTTCAGAGGGAGAAGCTGCTCACGGTGTTGGAGTCCCTTGGTGAAACCATGTCCCACCATAAGAGCAGTGTGGGTCTGGAGCAGCCGGAGGCGATGCTGGTTCACCACAGAATGGCCTTTGTCAGCACCTCTCTCTTCACCGTGCGGCTCTTACAAACGCTGCTTCCTGTGGAGAAGGTATGGTGGGCAGCGCGCTTACCTGTGCTTTGCTGGCGATGATGAGTTAGCGCTCTGTGGTACTTTTCTTCTGGTCATTTCACGGCAGGACGGTATTCTGTAGAGACTATTTTCAAAGTAAGTGGAGGTGTGGAGATTATATGGGAGAAAATAGAAACTGAGAAATGGGTAGCATTTTTAACAGTCTTCGCAAATAACTTGATAGAAAAGTATTTTTTCACCTCATCAGTTGTTTTCATGGTATGTATTTTATTGTAATTCTATACTTTTGTTTACTTTTTTCCTTCATTTGTTCATGCATTGAATATTTATTGTCTTCAGTGGGCTATCACTGTTACAAGCTGGGATGTAAAACTGATTTACCTAGTTTTGTTTCTTTAGTAACTTTGGGGGATCAATTTGAGGGCAGGGATCATGTTTCTTATACTAATAGATTTTTTCCCCATTGTGCCTACCACTTTGTTAAAAACAAAACCCAAATGAAACCAGAGCAGCTGCTGGCGAGTGGATTCTGACCATGGCGACCCCACACTGTCAGTGGCTGTCATCTCGCAGAAGTGGATCGTCAGGCTTTCTTGAGGAGCCTCTGGGTGGGCTCCCACCTCTAACCTTTGGTTGTGGAGCTTTTAGATTTGTGCCACCATGGACGCCACAGTCTGTTAGGCATCTATAAGCCTGATAACTACTTGGTGTATATACTTGATAAATGTTTTAATTCAGTAGAAGTCATCGAAAGCCCACTGTCTCCTCATCTCCTCTCCAAAGAAGTAAGCCTTGGTTCTTACTCATTTTGGGTTAGCACTTCCTTCTCTCCTGCTCGCTGCATATTGTCAAAGTTCTTGGCTCATTCACCATTTCCATGTACCTTGACACACAGAACACAGGTGGTAGTCTCCTGTAGTACTTCAGAAATTATTCCTAGGCTAGCATATGTTAGTATCATGTACCTTGTACTTGTTGGTTTTTTCAGCTGTTCCAAAGAGTGTCAGCAACACTGTCCTTCCTAACTGTTGACAGAATTGGTTTCTTAAGTCTGTCTGATTTCTTGCATTTTTTGTAGGTTATGCGTATTTATAGTATGATGAATATTTCAGTAACTTAAGTGGTATATTTTTTTGGTGGCACACATTTCTCCTGAAGGTTTCCTCTTATCGCTTCCCTTTTGCCAGCAGCATAATTGCTAAATATTTATATTCTGACAGCATATCAAAAGAATTTCAGGAAATACGTGTCAGGCAGTATTAAATATCTTCATATTTGTCCGACTTAGTTTTTGATATTTGGTAATTTATTTTAATGTCTAAAATTGATTGTGTTTTAAGTTTTATTTACTAATTGTATGAATTAATGTTTTAATATGTCTACAAGATCTTTTTGCAGTTATAATGCTATTTTTCTACCCTCGATAGCAATGAGCTTTCTTCTATGGTGGTCTTTAGTCTACTACCTTTTCTGTTTTACCTAGCCACTTCTTTTCTTAAGCATTTTTTAATTTTATTTTAAGTTTTAGCTTTTACTCAGAAAAAGGGCTCATTAAAAAATATTCCTGTACAAAGAAGGATAATAAATTCATTCATAATTTCAAGTTAGTGTTGAGGCTTATTTTCCCCATTTACTTTTTTCTTTCTTTTTGTTCTTTAAAATTGAGTTGAGAACGTGTTTTCTATAAAAGCATTTATTTACTTATTTGGCATTTATAATCTAATATCCAGTTCCCATTTAATTAAGTAGTTCATAAATTATAATGGATGCTAATATTCTACCATGACTATGTTCCATGATTCGTATAAATGTTCCTCAAAAACTTAAACATTTAGTCTGTTTCTAGTGTTTTGATAAACACTACCATGTTAAATATGCATAATATATATTAAGCCTTTCAAGACCAAGTTATTGAAGAAGAGAGGAAACAGGATGGTATCCTGTTGACACATTCTTCCTAGTCCCTCTTCAACAAAGACCAAAGAAACCAAGGGAAACGGATACAGATGATAATCCTAGAAGTCTGAGCATCAAATGAATAGATAAAGAATTAAACATTGGTTAGAAAAGAAACAGATTGCAAATAGTGATCAAAGAGAGAGACAGAGCAGAGCTTTGGCACAGCATAGCCATGAAACACAGAAGGCAACATGTACTAGTGAGGACAAGCCAGCTTCATGGAATCCCATTAAGACAAAGTGTAAACACGTCTGGAGTGAGACAGTATCTATCCAGTGGGAAGCAGAAATTATTTCCCCACTAGACAGCCATACCTGCCACAGCTGCCACCTCTGTCCCCTACCCAATGGGTGAATGCCTCCACCTGCTTTTGCACCACTGGATCAATGACCGACAGTGGACAGCATTTGCTCACCCCACCTGCAGCTGCTCTTCATGCCAGACAACAGAGACCAGCATTCACACTCCCACCAGTTATTCCACTCACTAAGAGACAGTGCTGCCAAACTAGCAACCAGAGTAGGATGCCTGCCCTGCCCATCCCGATATAGGAAAACAAAGGGGGGGAAGAAACCCAGGGTGAAATAAACCAGTACATGATTAACAAATAAATACAAAAACAACAAAATATCCTGAAGAAGACACCTTGTAATCAAACAAAGAAGCATGATAAGATGGCTCAAGCAAGTGACCTAAACGAAGAACAAGACAACCTCTCTGAGGAAGAACAGGTAATAAAACCACTTGATAAGGAACTAAAGTTTATATATAGGGCCCTCTGTGAGATCAAGGAAACCACAAGATCAAGTAAAACTTAGACATTATCCTTGAAGAAGTCAAGAAAATAACTCAAGAGCAAAATGACCAAATAGACAATTAGAAATCCTACAAAAACAGCAATTAGAAATCCAGAAGATTAACACTAACATTTCAGAGATAGGTATCCAAAAAACCAATTTCATTGCCATGGAGTTGATTCTGACTCATAGCAACCACCGTTAGGTTTCTGAGGCTCTAAATCTTTACACATGTAGATTGCCCCATCAAGAGTAGAATTGGATCAGTAGAACACTGGATCGATGAATTAGAAGACAAATCCTTTGATAACAATTTTGTGATAGTTGGAGCTGTGTGTCAACTTGGCTGCACCACAATTCTGTGTGGTTTAAGCAGTTGTGATGTGGTTATTCCCATAATGGGATCAGATGAATATGTTTTAAGCAGCCAATCCATTGAAAGGGAGTTTCCCTAGGGGTGTGGCCTGCTTCCAGTATATTTATGGACATCCTGGGAAAAGAGATACTCTTGTGTGGATTGGGATTCTGTTGTGGTGCCTACAACTGTCTATGAGTGAACAATCCACCATTCGGCCTGAAGATCCTGGATTTGTCATTCGTTGGAGTCAACAGGCAGTATACTGCCTTCCAACCTTAAGCTCCTTAGCCCCTGCAGCTGCATGAGTTGGGAAAAGCCTCCAGCTTGACGTTTGATCCAAGAACTTTGGACTTGCCAGCTTCTATAAGTGTGTGAGCTATTTTCCTAGGATAAATTTATCTTTCTCTCTCTATATAAGCTTTACTGGTTTTGTTTCTGTAGGGAGCCTAGTCTAACACAAATGTCTATGAAGAAAATCAGAAAAAATGTTGAAAAATGAACAAAACCTAAGGATTATGTGGGACACTATCAAGAGGAAGAGATGTAGGTATGATTGGAATTCCAGAACAGGAGAAGGCAAAAACAAAACAAAGCAGAATTGTCAGAGATTGGCTAGCAGAAACCTCTGATGTCATGAAAGATGAAAAGATATCCATCCAAGAAGCACAATGAAACCCACACAGGATAGACTCCAAAAGAAAATCGCTAAGACATATCATAATCAAACTTTCCAAAACCGAAGACAAAGAAAGGATCCTGAGAGCAGCTCAGGAAAAATGAAATATTACCTACAAAGGGAAATTAATAAGATTAAGCTCTGATTTCTCAGCAGAAAGTATGCAGGAAAGAAGACAATAAACAACAAAAAACCAAGCTCACTGCTGTCGAGTTGGAGCCGACTCATAGCGACCCTTCCTTGGGTTTCCGATGGAGTATCACTACAGAAGTAGATTGCCCAGTCTTCCTTCCGAGGAGTGGCTGGTGGGTTTGAACCGCCAGCCTGTGGTTAGCAGTCAAATACCTTAGGTACTACACCACCAGAGCTCCTACAAGAAGACAATAGGATGACATATATAAAAACCTGAAAGCAAAAATATGCACAAATTCTATATCCAGCAAAACTATCCCTCAAATATGATGGTGAAATTAGAACATTTCCAGATAAACAGGAATTAAGGAAAGATTGTAAAAGCAAGACCGACCTTACAAGAAATGCTTTTCTTTGGACAGAAAACCAAAATATCAGAAAACAACTTGAGATAAAGGTACAGGACAACATCACCCAGAAACCAATCCAGAAAAAGAATTCTCAAAAATAAACTTACAAGACTGAAAATAGGGAATCAGATATGTCAGTCTGTAAATGATTACAACTACAAAGCAAAAAGAGGCTTTAAGTGGTATAGTTACAATAAATGGTATAATTACAGAATTTCCAAATGGAGAAGGAAATCAAGATGATACTAAGATAGAACATTCTGTTTTAAACTTAGGAAGATAAAAGTAAATTACAGGGTACCCACAAAGAAAATTAAACCTAATTAAAATAAGAGAGAAGAAAGTCATAAGGACTTACCAAACCAAGAAACCAAACCCACTGCCGTCGAGTTGGAACCGACTCATAGTGACCTCTCCTTGGGTTTCCAAGGCACTATCACTATGGAAGTAGATTGCCCAACCTTCCTTCTGAGAAGTGGCTGGTGGGTTTGAACCTCCAGCCTTCTGGTTAGCAGTCAAGTACATTAGGCATTACGCTACCAGAGCTCCTCATAAAGGACTTAGTAAACATAAAATCAACAACAATGAAGAAAATGAAAAGAAAATCTGATAACAGTATGAGCTCAGCAGGAAAAAAAAATGGAATGTGGAAATCATCAACACCATAGTAAAAAACACAAAAGAAT